ATAATTCTTGAAATCCACAGTAATGAGAGTTAGTAAAACTCCTCTTAATAAAACTCCCAACAGCTATTTTCACAATCTAATTATTCTCATCTAAATATCTCCTAAACCGTTCTTAAACATATTGAAGCACCCTTTCAAGCCTAGCAAACAACCTGCTGCCTCGTAAATCAGTCTAAGCACAATTTATATATTTTCTGAAGTGCTGGGAAATAAGTGAACAGTAGCAATTGTTTTACAATCTGGCATGGCGAAAATTGTTAAATAAATCACGAACATGATATGAAAGCAAAGACAATGGCTCTCATTGAAATGATTGACAAAAAATTTGGGCAAAGCTTCAAACTTCCTATCACATTCCAAAGTCAAGCTAGTACTGTTCAATTCGGTAGAAACTTAGAAAATTTAAGGAAATCTTTAGAGTAATTCTTTTGAAAGAGGAATTGCTGTGGAGCATGAGGCTACAGCAGTTTCAGTCGTTATTTTTATACCCTGAACATGGTCTGACTGAGTTTTTGGAGCGTACACTTTCCAACTTGCTTAACGGCATTGAAAGTGTGGCATCTGGAAATGGCGAACACGACTCCCTAACCGAAAATGATCTTATATATTTTTCACTGCCCGACTATGATGAGCTGCGAATGGCAATTACCCGCCTAAATAATAGACAAAGAGGCAGAGACCGATGAATTATCGGCCGAACCACTCAAATGCCGCGTCGAAGAACTGACAAGCTGCATGTAACAGATCCTTTTCAAGATGTAGTCGAAAATAGCATGCCCGACGATTGGAACCTAAATGTTCTTTGCCCAATTCACTAAAAGGGGGGAATAATTGTGCCTTATCAGTGCGACTTTAGACCTGTTTTTCACTTCACTTGACTTCAAATCTTGACGTTGAGGAGCATTAAAGCTCCGTTAGAATGGGGAAGGATACAGATCGGGGCTTCACAAAAGTGAGCTCTAATAGAGAAGGTACAATTGCTGATGATATTGATATCATTCGCTTCATCAATCGTCTATCAGTATTAACACCAGCAACAATATCAGCCATGAAATCTAACGCAGAATTCAGTTGCTATTGAAAAGTACAGTCCTCTCTCTCCTAATATACTGTGCGGAGACCTGGACAATGGCATCATCTGATGTGCCGGTCTCATGCCTGTTTAAGAACAAGGTTTACCGGAAGATTTATAGACCTTTGCGCTTTGGCAACGGCGAATACCGCTGTCGATGGAATGGAGAGCTGTATGAGATATTCGATGCAGCTGAAGTAAACTTTTTTTTTAAATTTTTTTTATTAATTTTTGTTTATTTTATATAAGTAAACCTCAGTTTAGCGGCTAATAACCAAAAGTCAACGAACTTTAGTACAACAGCAGCTTTAGGCGATTTCGAACAAAAATCCTTTTCCTTCCAACTATCAGTAACAAAAGTGCTTCATATTTGCATTTTTCCATAATTTTTCAAATGTTTTTTTTTATTTGTTTTTTTATTATTTTTTTTTTATTTGTTTTTTTATTATTTTTGAGAACGCCAATGGCGCGCTACATGCCAAGTTACGTTCATAAACTTATTCCTTTTAAATACGCTTATGAAAGCAATTTTTTCTTTTTTCGAAATTTCATCGGCGAAAGGCGTCACCGAARCCCACCATTATAATTAACCTGAATTTTATTTATTTTATAATTAAAAGCTGTAAAGAAAATCCTGCACATATTAACCGCATATAGAGCAACGGTGGCAAGCACGAACCGAATTATGTCGACCGAAAAAGGGGAAAAAGTGGAAACCATTTAAATGCTAATAACCCGAAAAGGCTTTCATGGCACCTTTGAGCCATCATGCGGGGCTTAACGTGTCATTTGCGCGTTGTGCTGAGAATTCCAATTTGGACGACAACATGGCAGCGCTGCATACACAACACACAAGCGTGCCTCTATTTGCTGCACTCAAATATTCGCAAGTGTTTTATCAATGCTGATAATTGAGTGCTCGCTGGCACCAGCGCCAATGAAATTCAAACAGATGCAGGTAGAGCTTATGGTTGGCTCCAAGCCCAAGCAACGGGAACAACGCAAACGTAGACGCAGACATAATGAGAACATCAAAGCTTGCGCCTCTTTCCGATACGCCCACTAATCCTGGCACGCAGCGCGCGAACGCTATCAGCGCCCCAACGAAAATAATCCTCGCACCTTTCCACATTTCAAATGCGGCCATTTGTTTGCTCGCGTACTTGCTGCTAACGGAGTGGTGGGGGCAGGGTGCGATAAGCGCCAGTGACTAAACGGAAAGCGCTGGAGTCTTCTTTATGTGTATGTGTGTGTGTATTAGTGGCATATGTGTGCGAAGTGTGAAAAGACTTATGCTTTGACTAATTGAATTTCGGTTACTCATGCACACATGCACACATATGTACATACATAAAAGAAGTAATGTGTGCCTATTTATTTTTTCTACTTTTAACTACAGCAAATCCTTGCAACATGTGCGTGCCGCCAGCAGCAAATCACCGCCACAATCAATAAACAAATTCTGCTCGCCACTGCCTTCCTGCTTGCCGCCACCGGGCGGTCGCGATTTGGCGCATATGCGCGAGTATTTTTGTGTCGCCCCGCACCTGCACCGGCGCTGTCTGCGTGCAGCCTGCGCCCGACGCTGATCCTGTTTGCGCTTATTACTGACATGATCAGTTTTATAATTTATCGCCTTCGTCGAGTTTTCGGCTGGCATGTCCGCACCGCATTCAACTATTATTATGGACACGCAATCGTTATGACATAAATTGTGACAAATTTTTCATTTAATTTTTGCGCACAAAAAAATCGTGTGCGCAACTTGCTGTTTGCCACATAAAGCGGCATGAAAAATCAGCGCAGAAAATCAGCGCCAAACTAAGCAGAATAAAATAGTAGTAAATACAAAAAACTCATTTTGTTGCATGCAACCGCATTTATTTGCGCGTATTTATGCTGCTAATGGCGCGGCATAAACAATTTTGCTGCGCCCCGAGCGCTCGAAATCAAAGCAAAAAGCTCACAAAAGGTGCGTTTTGCGCACGCACAATGCTGATCGCCTCTATTATTTGTTGTTGCTTGCCATTAGTTCGAATCTTTTTTTTGTTTATGTATGTATTTTTCTTCAAGTTTGCGCCGAAATTTATCTCAACATGCATTTAATATGTTTAAATTGTGCGTTGCATGCGGCCAACTCAATCTAGTAAATAAATGCTGTTAACTGTAAACTAGCAACGTCCACTGCCACTGCCACAATTTGTAGTTTGTGGCGATTTGTGGCAGCGATTTGATGCCTTTCGTTTTTTATTGTTTTTTTAACACTTTTCTGCGACGCATTCGAGCAAGACAGTCAGTCTAACTGTATGCGCCGCCTTGTTAGCCAAGTTGTCTTACCCTTGTTACTTTTTCTAGGCTTCGAAAATGGCCCATTTAACTGTTTATGTTGTGGGTTTATTTCTGCATTTTGCTCCTGTGAGAGAGCTGTTGTTTTGCCTGGCAACACATTAGTGTGGCATTTTGTTTGGCTAATACAGGTCGATAGGGTATCGCCGCTTATGTCAATTACATTTGTTGCAAGCAATAAATGACATTTAAAATTGTGTAGTTGTGGGATATTGACTCCTTAGAGAGCGACCACGCACAATTTATTTTGTACTCGTGTATTTACAAATCGATTACGGGTTTAGTCAGTTATAGTTAAACCACAGTGAATTCAAGCAAAATGTTTCAAAAAATTTACAACTGCTTTTAGAAATTTTAAAAATGGACTGGGCTAATATGAAAAATTTCGAAAGATTTAAGGCAGATATTCAGATACCTTTTTTTTTAATGTAAGAGGAAATATTTAGAAGTAGTCAACTAAATAGAAAAATTACATGAACACGAAAAATTAACTCTTAAATAATTTTAAGTTAGATTTTCCATCTCATTTAAAATTTTAATGAAATAAATTTTTGGCTGGAGTACGTCTGTTATAATAAATTATTTTTTGCTTATGGGTATCGCACTTATAATATTGATGAAACGTTGTGGTTCATGCGTTGAAACTTAGTAATTATTTTTAAAATCATTGTCATAATCAAATTGAAGTTATTATATTTGAATACATACGTATGTATTTGTATTTAATCTACAATAATTACACAATTATGTATAAATAAAATAAAAGTAAATAAATTTTCAAAAAAATAATACACTAAATATTACTTAAAGTAGTATTCGGATGTGATGATTTATTATATGTATATACATACATAAATTCTTATGTAAAAAGGTAAATACTAACATAATTCGTATGTACATAATGTTGAATAACTTACCAGCTAATATTATTATGTTGTCACATTTTAATGCATTTTATCAAATATACCTTTAACAGCACTCACTTTTTTTACTTGCACTCGAAAACAATTTAAAACACACGTTCGTACATACATAAGTGTATACATCAAAATTTAGCAAGAAACACTTTCCTATACTTAAAATAATAAAAATCATGCTATTTTAACATGTCACAGCATGTTTGCTGGTTTGTATACAAGAAACATTGAATTAACATAAAATAGCAACAATTGCACTGCAAGCTTCGCCTCCCTGACGTTTACCGAGCACTGAGAACCGAACCGTGTCAAGAACGAAAACAATATTTACGCGAATTCGCCTTTTTATATAACTGCAACTATATTATTCTGTGGACTATAAAGTTATACTATATTTATTTGCAATTAAATTTATTAATATCTTCTTTTACAATACAAAATTGAATGAAAATAACACTAAATATTAAAAATTCACTTTATTCGCAGCACAATATACATATGAAGCCTTGCACAGCAAAGTAACAATATAAGAACTATGTATTTGTTTTAACTTTTCGTCACTTTCATTTGCGTGTACTCGCGAAAAACCGAGTGCCACTGCTGTGTTTGCATGCATTTAGTGTAAATATGTGTGTTTGCATGCATATATGTATTTGCTATATGTGCACATGCACTGTATTTTTATGGGTTTAAAGAGCGCGTGAGAAACATAAAAACAACAAATTTAAAGTTTTGCTGATGATGTAGCGTAGAGTGTGGGTGTGTAAAGAAAAATGATGAGTGAATGACATTCTCAGTTTGTGCATTGTTGTGGAAGTTAACAGGTGTTATCATTGAAAAGTGTGAGTAAATTGAACAGAAATGTGGGAGAGTGAGAAATGTTCTGTGAATTATGGTTTTAATAATTAATTTAAGGAAGTTTGCGTTACGCGTAATAAATTCGGATAGTGTTTCAAAAATAATAATATGTGTAACTTTATATCGGTCTCGTAATAATCTATTCTCAATATTTTCATCACAAAAGTCCCGTTTATGTTTTGTGCGCTTTGCGTGATGTAGTGTTCTTGCAAAAATAAATATGTATGCATGTGATAAAGTGGTGAAAAAGTGTGTGGAAAAAAGTGCAAATTGTATTAAATTTCCTGTGTTTGGTAGATGAAAATCAAATTTTGTTTTAACGCAGCCGGAATGTGAAAAGTGATTAGGAGGAATATTTAAAGAGGTATGTAAAATGTACATGATTGTCTTATAATGTAATTGTGATAAACACACTATCTGAACATATGGTTACCCCATAATTTAAAGTCAATTATTCTGTAAGTAATTTTTTTCTCAATTCTATAGGAGTCCCAAAATGTACATTAAGACAAAAAAACTAAATTTTTGTTAATTCTATATTGCCCTAAATTTCGTATTATTACTTGAAATACACTAATAGTCATAATTAGAAAATCTATAATAGTTAGAAATAAAGAAAAATATGTACTATTTCCATTTATATTTTTATTTTCACTTCCAAAGTCGTGTAGAGGGCTTTACGCATTCAACATGTACGCAAAGCGTTAGCCCAGAGCTATGTTGGCCCAGTTCCGCAAACAACAACACAGTGCCCGCCAATCGCGACATGTTCATGTAAATTTTGTCCAGTGCATTGAACATGTTCTAATTTTTCGTTGTTCATAAAGTTTTTGTTTAATATCTACCGCACTGCCTATGCCGTTGGCATCTGGTAACATTCTGCTTGTTTTGGTCGCTTCAGTATTGCCACTCGTACATGTTGCATGTGCGGCTTTTGATTTTACAAAAGCAGCACCGCCGCCAAAATTCATTCAACTCAATCACGTCATTTTCGCACACACAACGCACAATTTTCTGTTTGCTTTGGCTTTGGCCACACATCACACACAGGGCAAGGCATAAAACCAAAACAAAAAAAGTCAAAATAAATTAAAATAAGAGGAGTAACATTAATTACAGGCGCACAACAATGTACATTGTGCGCACATGCAACAAGAAAGTTTGCAACATGCTGCCACAATTTGTAGGGCGACTGTGAAATTGTATCGCCTTTTGGCCGCTCGCTTTGTTGACGTTGTTGTTATGCTTTCGGTATAAGTTTGTTGCACAGGTTTTCGCATTACGTGCTTGTAAATTCAAATTTGCATCTTCGTGCCGGGCTTAGCGTAGGGCAGGGGGAGTGCATGTAAACCTTACTCCACAAAGTGACTTTTGTTTGTTCTGTCCTTCGTGTGTGTGTGTGTGTTCGCGGGTTGGCATATTTTAACGAGCACATTTGTTCGATTAACACACGTCGCGCTGTGCTCTCCCGCTCTTTGCRTTTTCTTAGAACAATGAGATGCCACACTGTTTGGAAATCGATGGGTATATATTTGGATGGTATCAAAAAATAACTCAAAACCGGCAAGTAAGAGCCAAAGCTAAAATAGAATAGAATTAAATTAGGGAGTGTACTCTGACGTAAGTTCTATTCTGCCCTCTCCTCCCTTACACGGATTCAGATAGGCCCAACACTCTAATCAGTTCCCGAACTTCGCTAGATAATGTACTTCCTACTTCGATATGAGCTTTATTCTGTATCTGTCCCTGTCCACTCGCTGCTAAGTGCCGTTCCAAGTACTTATGAACCAGGAACGATTTGATGTCGTATCGTAATAGCTCTTTGAGTGTTCTTTGACCATCGCTGAGTATGGTTTACTTCTGAACACCGACTTATTACAAAGATCTCTGKCTAGAAGCTACTCTCATGGGTAGAAAAGAAGTTGTGCCTGGACCTGTATCAATGACTTCCAACGTTTTTGAAGTTAATTGTAGTGTTTCGACAGTGAACTTTTCTGTCAAGAGTGACAGCGAGGCTCTCTTTGCCCACGTGATCCTTAATTATTCTGGGCTCATAGCCTCATTATTTTTGGCCAAACGTTTGCATATCATGAGTGAATTTTSCCAGCTTTTTGACCGAACGGTGGAGTCCAGAGTGAGGATCAGGTAATCATCCGTACTTATCATGTCCGATCTTCTGCCACTAAGAGTTACGGGCATTCTCTATTYAAAGATTACTCAAACATAAATTTTCGATTTTATTTCTCTTAAAATCAGGCAACWCTGTTCTCTTTCACATGTACCCATGGCCCATAAAAGCTTCGTATTTGTCGGCATTTGCCAGGCGATTCGTGCATAAATTAATAAATCGTTTCGCGTTTTCGGTCATCGGACGGTGCAACTTGCAACAACAGACCGCACACTCGGCTATGTTAAACATGGTTTATTAATTCAATTTGTGCTTAAATTAACGTGTAAGTGGCCAATATATTGAGTTACTGCCGCTTAATTTACTCACAACAACATTGATGTCGCATACAAAAAAAAAAAAAAACACTTGTGCTCCTTTTACACGATGCACTTCGTAGGCCGTGGTTTTGCTGCTTTGGCCCGAATAGCGCAGCATTGACTCTTTTATCACCTGCATATTCTTTTATTAAACACTGGAGCTTCTTCCAGTCGCAACATTGACGTGTTTGCATTTGCGTGCTTATTTGGCGTTTTTAATGCGACTCGCAGACGTTGTTGTAAGTCGTAAACATGCGTTTTTGATATGAGCATTTAGATTGCAAGCAACCAGTAAGCGTTGCCCATATGGCGTTTGCAGGAGATCAATGTAATCTAGCTTAGAGTAATACATGGTATCGTTTGCAGTAGTTAAATGCTTGCGCGGCATCAGGTTGTTGCAAGCACTGCAGCATCAACATGCTAAGTCAGCATGTAGTCACGCAGGGTCTCAAGAGGCAGCTAACAGGTTTTTATTAGTATTATTATCTTAGGAGGTGTAACATTTAAGCGAAATAAAWAGGAATATATGCAACATATTCTGTGTTACAATTGTATTGGAACATTTGATGTTGGTTTAAGAGATATATACGAAAAATTATAAATATATAAATTAGAGGGCTGGGTCATGCCCACTTTTTGAAAAAATGTTGCCCTTGGGTACCGTTTRCCACTGCGATCCCCTGTGCCAAGTTAGAGTCTTACTTTACTCTTGCTCGGTTAATACCGTTTTGTGGGCATGGCCGTTGTTCGATTACGCCTATCTACGAACTCGTACTTTTTTCTGCCAAGGAACTCGCGTATCAAGTTTCATAAAGATTTCTCAATTTTTACTCAAGCTACAGCTTGCACGGACAGACGGASAGATAGARAGTCACCGGATATTAACTARTCTTGTCATCCTGATCATATATATMCATATATATAACCTTATATCTATCTCGCTTAGTCTTATGTGATACGTGCAACCGTTAGGTGAACAAAACTATTATACTCTGTRGCAATATGTAGCAAGAGTMTAAAAATKGAAGAAACTTCTCTTCTATCAATATTGAAAACACAAACGAAAGGCCTATAAAATAAACTTCAATCCAAAGTATAGCTTGTATACACTGCCACACGCCTGACTCATCACCGCTGCCACCATTGCACTGACCGTTGGAATGCCGCGCTTTCATTCAAACGAAGCGTTGCTCCGCAAATGTCCAGCTGCTGCCACCCGCATAACAACATGACAGCGTAAAAAAAACAATCKATCAAGTGCGGCGAAGAAAGCTGAAGCATAAGGCAAGCTAAAGTAATTTACAAAAATAATAATACGAAATTTGAAACAAAAACCAAAGCAATAAAATATGGCACATTCAACGGCGAGGGGAGTGTGTTGCCGTCAGCACTGCTGGAGAGAAGAAAAAATTTAAAAAAAGTGGCTGTTGAGATTTTTTTTTTTTCAATATGTCAGTCAGCCTGTCGCTGCAACGTTTAGCATTCTATAMACAATTAGTCAGTCAGTGCGTCAGTCAGTCATTTAGCGAGTTCAACATTCAATCAGCCTCAGAGTTCCTTAACCTCTCAACAATAAGTCAACGGCAAATCGTAACATTTTGGTGAACCTTTTTTTCTCATTTATTTATTTATTAGTATTTATTGTTTTGAATGGCATACATATGTATATGAGTATGGAAAGCAGTATGGGTATAATTATACTTGTATATATGTATGTGCCATCATTGTATCATTTGCACTCGTAAGACAGTTGAAATGGGAACTCCCAGAAATTAACACCAGCCATAATCAGTCAGCCAGTGTAGTGGCGGGTGTCAGTCGGCTAATTCGTCAGTGCGCCATTCAGTCTGTGGGACAACCACCAACTGTGCGCTTAATGTTGTTTACAATCATACCGCGTGGCTTAAAGGTGCTCAGCTAATGCGAAATCTGGAATAATAACGCATATAAAAAATCGGTATTATATACGGATATAGTAAAAATATATAACGAAAATAAACACAACTTACAGCTAATATGTAACAAGATACATATTATGTTGTTCAAAAGTTCTGTTTTAAATAAAAAAGTAAAAAATCGCATGAGACGAAGTCAATATGTGAAATGGAATTGGTTTCAAAAATGATTCCAAAATTTGGAAATTTTTTATTTTCGTAAAATTACTTTAATTTTTTTTTAATATATTTTTCCCAATACTAATATATTCTACCTTTTTTAATAATTTATTTAATTTTTTTTAATATTTTTTATTTTCAAATGCTTCATTTCTGTTTTTTTTTTTGTAACCTTTTTTGCCAAATTTAGACATATTCATTACTTTAACCTCAAAACCTATATACATATGTAAATATATATATATATATATACATACCTCTACTTGCAGGTGTGTGCGTAAATTTTTTTCTCCCCTCAAACGTCATAGGTGATAGCTCCGGCTATGACCTCATCACTCAGCCGCGCCAAASCTTTTGTATATCGATTTCATTACTCTTTACAACTTTCAAGTCAGTGTTTTTATTTTGCTCACTTTTTTGCCGATACTTAACGAAACAATACGTTCGCATAAACAATATTGAAAGGCATTACATTGGTGTTAGTATGGCTTTAATAACAGAAAATTGTTTTAGCGCGAAATGCTGTGAAAGTAGTTTMATGATTTGCTTGAGAAGTCTTGAACGATATGAAAGAATAATATTTTGCCAATTTTTAGCTGATGCTTTTTTATTTTTGTTATGATACTCTTTTGCTTGAGGACCATCAACAGGTACGCGGAAATAATTCGTAAATGATCTGCATTATTTYAAACCATTTAATATACGATTTTCTTTGCATGTGAAGTGTTGCAAAATATGTAGAGCTAATTTTCGATATGGGTGC